TTTGTTTTGGTTCTGCGGCTCTTTTGGCATGGGCAACTGATTTTTAGGTTTTGTTTTTTTAATATTCTGACGTTCACTTGGTCGTATTTTGTATATACCCCTCAGACACTGACAACAAGTAAGTAAACAGGCCGGAACATAGTCAGCATGCCAGTGGGACTCTGAAGGCCCCAGAGAAATCGTCATCTTACAGCATTAATGAACGAAATTTACATTACAACTCATGCTTCCGAACAATCTGATATTTATGCTGGATAACAAAGTATACAAGTACTGTCTACAATATACTGCATAACATACCTATTTAACCGTTGTTGATTTTTGTACAAAATTCCAAGAACACAAAACAAACAACTGACAACAGTCGACAAAACAAAAACACAACACAGTCACTGTAGCCACACCAGTAGGAAAAAGATACTGTGGAACTCATTGCAAATGTAAATACAAAATAAATGTCAGTGAATACAATCACTGGACAAGTTCACAGCCTCTAATATTGCAAAACCGTTAGATGTGTACTGAACTTTAAATCTCATCAGGATTTCCACATGAAGTTACACAGATAGAAAAAATATGCAATATGAATACAAGGAAAAATAATGCTTTTTTGTCAAGGCTATATACTAAAATCACTTATTTTGGGGTATTTTTGTGAGTGTGCATGTATGCATTACAATTATCAAAACTTAAAATGTAATCATAGTACAAATGTAAAGTAAACAAAATTATCGAGTGATTTTGGATTTGTTGGAAAAGTAGCCAAAATGCTGTGACATGGTCCAATTGGTAGTAGGGAATTACCATGCCAGTTTATAAAACAAGCCGGTAGGCTGGTTGGCATCCGCTTCGCTCAAAAACAAGTAACATAATGTTTTCGGCTGTTGCCATGGTAGGACATGAACGTGAAGCTAAGGTCAGTTTATAACTAAAACCGTATACAAGGTTTGCAAAAAAAACGCTCAGTCTTTAGAAGTCACTTTATTTTATTGCTAGGACATATTCTGCTATTAAATTTATTATTTCCAACCGTTTTGCGATAGTATTTTCTAGATTGAAGCATGGAGGTAAAAAGCTCCATGATTGAAGGCAGCCTTTACAGTCA